GAGCAAACAACCCAATCAATAACTTGGCTAATGAACAATTTTCAAATGAAGTACAAATGGCCAATACATGAAAAAAAGTTTCGATTGTGGCTGTCGCCGAGCGTAGCTCTTCGCGACTCCGCACTGTGTGCAATCGTTATTGACCCGCGCGCCACCGGGTCTTTAGGCACTGGTGGCCCTGGGCTATACGGGTCTTGTCCTAAGTCCTGCATCCGAGGTCTGTAAGCAGCCACAATGTCCATCTTCACCCCCACCAACCAGATCCACCTAACCAATGTGGCAGTGGTGCGCATGAAGCGCGTTAGACAGCGCTTCGAGATCGCCTGCTACAAAAACAAGGTGGTCGGCTGGCAGAGTGGCGTGGAAAAAGACCTTGATGAAGTTCTGCAGACCCACTCACTGTCTGTAAATGTTTCTAAAGGTCAGGTTGCAAAGAAGGAAGATCTCATCAGTGCATTCAGAACCAACGACGAAACTGACATATGTAAACAGATTTTGACTAAAGTATCAGATAAAGAGAGGCACACACAGCTGGAACAGAGGTTTAAAGACATCGCAACCATTGTGGCAGACAAGTGTGTGAACCCCTGAAACAAAGAGACCATACACTGTTATCCTCATCCAGAGAGCCATGAAGGATATCCACTATTCAGTCAAACCCAGCAGGAGCACAAAGCAGCAGGCTCTGGAAGTGATAAAGCAGTTGAAGGAGAAGATGAAAAGCTCGCCCACATGAGACTCCGGTTCACCCGTCCAGTGAATGAAGGGAAGAAGCTACAGGAGAAGCTCAAGCCACTGATGAAAGTTATATGAAGTGAGGACTAGGGCCAACAGTTAGAAATCGTGTGTCTGATTGACCCAGGATGCTTCCGAGAGATTGATGAGCTAATAAAGAAGGAAACCAAAGGCAAAGGTTCTTTGGAAGTACTCAGCTTGAAAGATGTTGAAGAAGGAGAGGAGAAATTTGAATGACATTCATCATCCAGCTATGAAACCCTAAAAGCAAAGGCTTCTGTTTCAACAGCACTGTTTTATTTCTGTGATCTGCCAAAAACACCTGCTCAAACTATCTGACATTTCCCATTTTGTGTTAAATGTTTTATAAGTATAATGTGATATAATTTCATTTTAATTGTAAACAGGGGTTTTAGGAAAAAATTAAGAACCCCAAATACCAAGTCCAGAGTAGCACTTTGCAATTGTCTCATGCCTTTTTAGCTTTTTGAGACAACTCTTGTGGATAAAAAGTTAAAATTTGTACATTATATAAGTAATATTGTTTGGGGTTGTGTCTGTGTGACAGGGATGACTTGTATCCTACTATAAAACTTGGTGGTGACTTCCTGGTTACCTAAAGATGACATATAATGACTGCAGGACTTCACTGAGCATGCTACCATAACTTAGACTATTCTTCCTAATTCTTAAAAGTTTATAATATATATTAATATGGCTAAAATTATATGTAATCAATAAAACTTATTTTTTATTAAAAAAAAAAGAAAGTTTCATTTTTAGCCATCAGGGAAATGCAAACTAAAACTACATTGAGATTCCATCTCACCCCAGTTAGAATGGCTATCATTAAAAAAAACAACAAATGCTGGCAAGGATGCAAGGGAAAAAGAAACCCTCATACTGTACATCTGGTGGGAATCTAAATTAGTCCATTACCATGATGGAAATCAGTATTGAGGTTCCTCAAAAAGTTAAAAATGGAACTATCAATGATCCTGCTGTACCAATTGTGTATTATTCAGTAATAAGAAGAACAAAATTACACTGTTTGCAGGTAAATGGATAGAATTAGAGCATCATCGTATTAAGTGATATAAGTCAGACTGAGAGAAATAGCACAGATTTGTCTCATGCAGAATTTAGAAAAAAAAAAGAAAGCACGTGAAAGTAAAAGAGATATTATTAGGTATGTATAAGGGGATAAGGAAAAGGTGGAGGGGGGACAAGAGAGGGTACTAGAGGAGTACGTGCAATAATTACATTATATGCATGTATGAAAATGTCATAATGAAACCCATTACTCTGCACAATTAATTTAAGCTAATAAAAATAAATAAAAGACAAAAAGAAAGTTGTAAAGTCAATAGAATTCATTACTTCTATTGCTACATTATAATTTTACAGCTATCATTTTACAGCTGAATTCTTCCCTTATGCCAGATTCACATTGTTCTCTATAATAAAACTGCACCTAGCACTTTGGTACTTAAACATATAAAAGGGGGGGCCAGAAATTATGGGTAACTCCACATGCATCCAGGGTACTCAATCACCTCTGTGATGATAAAAAGACAAACAGACCAATGGAAAAATAGAGTTCATATCTATGGATATATCTATGGACAGCTGGTTTTGACAAAGGCACAAAGGTGGTAGAAAAGGATAGAATTTTCAGCAAATTCTGCTATAACAATTGGGTATCCATATGCAGAAAAAATGAACTTAGCTGCATATCTGTGCCACACAAAAATTGACTCAAAATGAATCACAGACCTCAAAATCTAAAACTACTCAACTTTAAGAAAAAATCTAAAACTATTCAACCTATAGAAGAAAAATAGAAAAAAAAATCTTTGTGGTGAACCAGGAACTAGAGAAAAGGTTAGTTTGAGAAGAATTAATTTAGAAGGTAACACACATGCACAGGAAAGCAATGCAAGTCAACTCCCTGTATAGCTATCCTTAGCTCAGCTAGCAAAAACCCTTGGTCCTTCCTATTATTGCTTATACTCTCTCTTCAAAAAAATTAGAGATAAGGGCAAAATAGTTTCTGCCTGGTAGCAAGGGGGTGGAGAGGAGAGGGAGGGAGCGGGGGGAAGTGGGGAGAAATGACCCAAACATTCTATGCACATATGAATAAAAGAAAAAATTAAAAAAACTTTGTGACTTTGTATTAATCAAAGATTTCTTAATTATAACTCTAAAAGCATACAATAAAAGGAAAACTTGGTTAAAACTTTTGCTCTTCAAAATATTGTTGAGGGAATAAAAAAGCAAGCTACCATTGGAGAAAATCTTTGCAAAGCATATTGTCTGAGAAATTACTAAAATCCAAATACATAAAGAACTCTTGGGCTGCAGGGTGGCTCAAGTGGCAGAGTGCCTGCCTTGCAAGTATGAAGTCCTGAGTTCAAACCCCAGTACTGCCAAAAAAGAGCTCTTAAAACTCAGTAACAACAACCCAATTGCATTTTTTTTTTTTTACAGTACTGGGGCTTGAACTCAGGGCCTACACCTTGAGCCACTCCACCAGCCCTTTTTTGTGATGGATTTTTTTGAGATGGGGGTCTCACAAGCTATTTGCCTGGACTGGCTTGAAACCACGATCCTCCTGATTTCCGCCTCCTGAACAGCTAGGATTACAGGCATGAGGCACCGGCACCCAGCTAACAATCCAATTTCTTAAAAGTGGTGAAATACTTGAAGTCAGTTCACCCAAGAACATATACACATGGCAAATATATATATATAAAAAAATCTCAAAAACATTTTCCACTAGAAAAATGAAAATTAAACCACAATGAGATGCCACTACACACCTAATTAGAATTCTGAAATTTGAAAAGCCTTAATGAGACCAAGTGCTGTCAAACATGAAGAGCAACAGAAGCTCTCAGCCATCAATGGTGCAAATGCAAATCAGCATGGCCACTTGGGAAGGCACCGTGGGAGGTTTTATAAAGTTAAAAATACACTTAGCATATGGCCCAGAAATCCTACTCTTAGGTATTTACCCAAGGAATTGAAAACATATTGACACAAAAACTTGTAAATTGATGTTTATACCATCTTTATTTATAGTAATCAACAGATAGATACAATCAAGATGCCCTTAAATGAATGAGTGGACAATTGAACTGTTGTACTACATGTTATTCTTTATACAATACTCAGCAGTAAGAAAGAAATGAATTTCTAACACACATAAATGAATCTCAAAAGTAATTATGCTGAGTAAAAGCAGACAAACATAAGTAACAATGTACCCACATAATACTACTTTGGTCAACAATGGACTGCGTATACTATGGTGGACTGTATATATATACTAAATGGAGCTAAAAATTTCCTATCACCTAATATTTTTATCTCTTCAATCCAAACAGTTCTCTGCTTAGATATATTTAGATGTTTTTCCTGACCTCTATCCAAATTGTCCCCTTGCAGTCTCCTTCATAACTTTTACCGTCATCTGTATTAGTGTTCCCCCCCCACACACATAACTCACAAGTAAAAAGATTTGGGTACTTTACTGTGCTTTACACATACCATGTTATATAGTATAACTATTTTAATTAGTAACAACTTTTTCTTCTGTATTTGTCTTTCCCCATGACTATAAGCTCCTTGATGGTAGGGACTGTGATTTCTCATCTTTATTATCTGATTTGTAACCACAGTAACTGGATCATGGTAAGTAGACCGGAAGTTGAATGAAAGAACAACCAAATAAACAAACAGATGTGGACTAAATATTCCTTGAGGACCTGACCTGAATAAACTAGTGGTGTTTAATAGTAGTTACTACATTTAATTAAAATATAAATTCAAAATCCTTGTGTTTTTTTAAAATGTTGATAAAAGTATCCTTTTTATCAGTATCCTTTGTATCTCAACAGGGTGTTTGCTATAGGCATTTGGGACAATTCATCGTGCTCTGCTATTGTAACCACTTCAGAATATTTAGCATTCCTAAACCTGACCCCCTTAAATTGTTAGATGGTCACTGTGACAATCTTTCTTCTCATTTCTAAATGTCCATCCCACTAGGAAAGGGGACAAATAAATACTATCTTCCAGTTGAGAATCAGTGCTTGAAGAGCTGATATAAAATCAAATGTCAATCCAGCTTGAAAACTGTAATTCCGTCAGCTTTGAGTCCCCTGACATTTCATTAAATTCTCTGGGATTTCTAAGTACAAAAGAGTATATGAAGACGTTTAAAAATAAAAGAAAGGAACAAAGCATATAGAGATCTGTACCTCTTAGCCACATCAATGGGTTTCTCCCCTGCTTTGTTGGTAATATTAGGGTCTGCTCCCACTTTAATTAGCCACTGCAAACACTCTATGTGGCCCTGGCCAGCAGCTGTTTAAAAAAAGGAAAAGAAAACAGGAAATACAACAAAAAGTTTTTACTGGTAACAATTTTATATAATTTTGGACCAGTACTATTATAGAATACTTTTTAAGTGTTGCTTCTTACAGTAACTAACAAAAGTAAATTGGGAAAATGTTATTTTTTTTCTGTTTCATTTACTCATTCATTAGACATTTAGTCAAAATATCTACTTTGCCCTGGGCCCTATACAGAGAATTTTACATACAGATATAAAAGTTTAAGCTCAAAACTCAGATATCAAATAATGAATTTATTAAAAAGAATCCAGTTTTTCCTAAGCCTTATACAAGTGCTATGTCCCCCATTTTCCACATTTCCCTACCTTATAAAACTATTAATATACATGGTACTTAGATTCTACACTTGACACACATTATTGATTAAAGAAAGTTAGTAATTAAGCTAAAAACCTAACCAATGAGAATATAACATGAGGGACTACAAGTTATTTATGAAATAAAATCCAATTCAAATACATGACTGTATTAGCAAGAGTACTATCCTTTTTCCACTAAGAGTTTTATAGGAATCACCTGCTATTAGATCTTGACGAAGTTTAATATAAATAAAGCACAAGGAAAATTTCAAGTACAAAGGTTAAAGATTTGGTTTTTAGTTAAAAAATAAAAGGAAGATTGGCAAGCCTAATTCCTAGAGTGTAAACACTGAATTAACAATTTGACAAAGTTTGATAAAACACCAAAAAAAAAATCACTATTACAGAACTCTACATGAAAAGAGGCAGAGAAAAGTGGCTGATACCTTAAAAGCATATTCAAATCTAATAATGTTGATTGATATTTCTGGAGAAATTCTAAAGAAGAAAATTCTGCTATAACTTTTTTCAAAAAATATGACTTCCATTTTAGCATGAACTGTTTTGCTTATTTGTTTGTCATTTTATTTTATTCAGTACTGGGGATTGAACTTAGGGCCTCATGTTTGCTAGGCAAGTGTTCTTAAGTCACACCTCCAGTCCACATAGGTGATTTTGAAAACATTACTCTCAGAAACTCCCCTACAAATGCATTTTACATCTTTACCAACATTAAGAATATCACAAAAGAAATTCTACTGCCATTACTCTCAAATGTGACAATTTGTGAATGTCTGCCATCATAAAAGGTACATGAAACTTGAATTGTAAAGTAGGCAGTCTATGTACCCTATAATGTAGACTGACACCTACTAGGACATGTTTCTGATGAATAATTACTTTAAAAGGGGAATAACTCAGCAGCAATTATTCCAAAGCTGGCAGTAAAACAGGAATAAAATAGCTTACCTTTATGCATTGGAGTTGACCCATTATCATCACGCTCATTAAAATTGATTACTCCATCTTCTATTAATTTCTTAAGCACTTCCAAATCACCCTTAAAGGCAGCCACATGACCTGGAAATGCTAAAGCTTTGAATAAAAAAAAATTCAATATTCCAGTAAATACATGAGTTTATTTTCTTCCTTGCCTTAAGTTGTCATACATTTTAGTCTTAATATTATCTCAAGTATGCAGCTATTGTATTGAATAAGTTCAACTGATGCATTGACAAATAATAAAAAAGAGAATTACAAAATAAAACCATTATTAAGTGCCACTCTTCCTCCCCTCAGGACTCTAAACTTGCCAGAAGTATGTGTCAGAACTATTATTTATCTATATTGTCTTTCTCCCTCATCCCTCCAAAAAACACAAGAGAATGGTCATTTTCAACTCTCTATAAAGACGCACTTCATCTAAGGTCTGCATTTGCACACATTAGTCCCATTCTACTTGCGAGTAACTGATAAACCAGAAAAGGCTAGAAGCAGATAAGAGGTAAGTGTACATACCATATGAACATGTACCTATACGTACATGCAAGCACACACACATAAAAGTACCTAACCTGGTGGCTAGCACATAGAAGACACATGATAAAATGTCTTCAGTGATAACTACTAAGTGCCAGGTACAGTAGTAAGCCCTTGTAAGGACTGCCTCATTTAACTTTCTCACCTAATCTGAGATATAGCTATCCTCATTTCTACATACGGAAAAAAACAAACTAGACTAGCCAATGGGTATTTAATGAGAACAAAATTGGAAATTTTATACTACCTGATTTTAAAATGTATTGTGATGCTACAGAAACCAAGACAGTGTAGGCTGGGTGCAGTGGCTCACACCTGTAATCACAGCTACTTGGGAGGCACAGATAGGAGGATCATGGTTCAAAACCAGCCCAGGCAAAAAAGTTAGTGAGATCCTATCTCAAAAACAAGTCAAGCTTGGTGGTTCATGTCAGTAATCACAATTACACAGGAGGCATAAGTAGAAGGATCACAGTCTGAGGCTGGCTCAGGCAAAAAAGCATGAGACCCTACCTAAAAAACAACTAAGTGAGGACTGGTGGAGTGGCTCAAGGTAGTACACCTGCCTAGCAAGCACAAGGCCCTGAGTTCAAACCCCAGTGCCAACAACAAAAAAGAAAAGCAACCAAGCAAACAAAATAACTAAAGTGAAAGAGCTGGGGGCAAGGCGAGACTGCTCGCCTAGCAAGTGTGAGGTCCTGAGTTCACAGCATAGTACTGCCAAAAAAAGAAAAAAATCAAGATAGTATAGAAGTGACAAATAAACATGTAAATCAATGACCTACACGTTTATTGCAACAGTTTTTTGACAATAGTGCCAAGACATTTCAATAGGTCACAGAAAGTATTTACAAAAAAAAAACAGTGTGCTGGAACAACTGGTTATACATAAAAAAAATTTAATTGATACATTTCATTCCATATACAAAATGTAACTTGAATACAGAAAAGATCTAAATGAAAAAGCTAAAATGCTAAAATTCCAGAAGAAAACACAGGAGAATATCACATGGATCTTGGGAAAGGGAAATAATTCATAGATAGAACCAAAAAAACACCACCCAAAACAGTAATTTGATAAATTGAACTTGAACAAAATTTAAAAGTTTTACTCTTTGAAAGAAAATAAGAAAACAAAAAAGCAAGCTTCTGAATGGAAGAAAATATCATATAGATAGATGGATAGGTAGATAGATGAAGATATAAGTTCTTTATCATTTATACAAGTACTCTCAACACTCAAAAGTAAGTAGAATAATAACCCAATTTTATTTCTAAAAATGGGCAAAATAGCAGACACTTCATAGAAGAAAATATATTAACAGTCAATAAACATAGGGAAAGATGCTCAACATCATCAGCCATCAAAGAAACACAAATTAAAACCACAATAAGATAACATTAAACACCCATTAGAATGGCTAAAACAAGGCAGAATGACCATACCGGTGTTGACAAGGACATAGAGCAAATGGAATTTTGATACATTTCTTGTGAGTTATACAAAATACGACTACTTTAGAAAACAGTTAAAAGTAAACAATATTTAAAATTAAACATATGCCTACCATATGTTACACTTCTTACCAAGAGAAACACAAATAACTTTCTAGGTAAATGTTCATAGAAACCTTATTAATAAGGCCCAAACTGAAAACAATCCAAATGTTCATCAGCAGGAAAAAATGGATAAATAAAATGTAACACAATGGAAAACAACTCAGCAATAAAAATAAACTAATACAATATGGATGAAACTCAAAATTAGCTCTTTTATATATAAAATTTTTAAATGCTAGCTAGTCTATAGTGGCAAAAAACTAGTATATTAATGGTTGCATGGAGTCATGGTAAAAGGAAGAATGAACTGGAAGGAGTTGAAAAAAACCTTTAAGTGATGGAAATAATTTATATCTTGATTGTTGTGGAGGACTGATGAGAGTGGAAAAAAGTCAGGGGAGACCCTATGTCAAAAAACAAGCCAGGCACAGTGATTCATGCCTGTAAATCCAACTACTTGGGAGGAGGCAGGAGGGTCATAATCTGAGGCCAGTTTAGGCAGAAGTATAAGACCCTATCTGAGAAACAAACTAAAAGCAAAAGGACTGGCAGGGAGAGGGGGTGCTTAGCTCAAGTGATAGAGTACTCACCTAGCAAATGGCAGGTCCTGAGTTTAATCAACAGTATTGCCAAAAAAGAAAACAAATCATGAACTTACACACTTTAATGCAATTTAAGTAAATTACATTCTAATAAAATTTTAAAGGCAACCATAATCAAAGTGAAAAAACACATCACATTGAGAACAAATATCCATATCAGATAAAAATCAGTAAGTAACAGGCATCAAAAATATAGAGGGGGAAGGAAGAAAGAGGGAGAACGATGGAAGGGTAAATCTAGCTCCGCCCTAGCAGAGAAGCTGAGGTCAATATCAAATCTGAAATATTTTCAAGGCAGGGCAAGATGGGTAGATTAGAAGCATCAACCATTTAACTCCATGAATGAAAACACTAGGTAACACAGGAGAGACTACAATCTGAAGATAGAAAGAGAAGAGCATCAGGAATTATGAAAAATGTAGCAGGAGAAAAGAAAATCACAGAGAAACTGAGGCAACAGAGAAAAGCAGCAAATAGTTCCAAGCCCCATCCTGGCTCCCTGGGAGTGAGAGCAGAAGCCAAAGACACAATCATAATGTAAGCCAGACAGCCTTGGCAATAGACTGGCAACTCTAGCAGCACAGTAAGCCCATACCTCCCACAAGTGTCAAGCCCACTATAAGGATGTGGTGGGACAATGACTGTTCCGATTAAAAAATCAGACAGCCTCCAAATAAACAACCTAAGCTCTTAGAAAAACAAGAACAAGCCATACCCAAAAGTAGCAGACAGGAAGAAATAATAAAGGTCAGGGAAGAAATTAATGAAAAGAATAATACAAAGATTAATAAAAACAAACATATGGTTCTTTACTGGGTATAGTGCCTCACACCTGTAATCACAGCTACTCAAGAGGCAAGGAGAGGGAGGATCTTGGTTCCAGACCAAACCAGGCAGAAGATTATAAGACTCCATCTCAACCAATAAGTAGGACATAGTGGTTCATCCCAGCTACATGGAGTAAATTGGAGGAATGGGGTTCAAGCTGACCTGAGCAAAAATGAGAGACCTTATTTGAAAAATAACTAAAGCAGTGGTAGAGGAGTGACTCAAGTGGTAAAGCACCTGCCTAGAAAGCATGAAGCCTTGAGTTCAAACCCCAGTACTGCCAAAAATAAAAAAAGAAAGAAAAGAAAAGTAACTAAAGCAAAAAGGGCTGGGGGCATGGTTCAAGTGGTGGAGTGCTTGCCTACCAAGTGTGAGGCCTGAGTTCAAAACCCAGTAGTGCCCAATAAAAACAAGTTGGTTCACTGAAAGAATAAACAAAACTGACAACCCTTTAGCCAAACTAACCAAAAGAAAGAGGGAGAAGACACAAATTGATAAAGTTAGAAATAGGGGTATTACAACAATTACCAATGAAATTCAAAAGATCATTATGGAATACTTTGAAAACTTATATTCTAATAAACTGAAAAATCTATAAGAAATAGATGAATTTCTAACAAAACTGAAACAAGGGGATATAAATCAAGTAAAAAGGTCTATAACAAGCAACAAAATTGAAGCAGTAATCAACAGTCTCCCCAACAAAAAAGCCCAAGCAGGATGGATTTACCATTGAATTCTACCAAACCTTTAAAGAAGAACTGGGCTGGCAGAGTGGCTCAAGCAGCAAGAGTGCCTGCCTAGCAAAGCATGAGGCCTTGAGTTCAAACCCTAGTACCACAAAATAAAATTTAAAAGTTAAAGAACTAACACCAATGCTCTGCAAACAATTCCATGGAACAGAAAGAGAAGGAATACTACTAAACACATTCTGTGAAGCCAGTATTACCCTGATACCAAAACCAGATAAAGACACAACAAGAAAAATAAAATTACAGCATAATTTCCTTGATGAGTACAAATGCAAAAATTCTCAATAAAATACTTACAAGCTAAATTCAACAACACTTTAAAATTATTATACAACATGATCAAATTAGTTTCATTCCAGGAATACAAGAATGTTTCAATATATGCAAATAATAAACAGAATACAGCACATAAACAGAATAAAGGACAAAAATCACATCATCACCTCTATAGATGCAAAAGAGCTTTTGACAAAATTCAACATATCTTCATGACAAAAGCCAAGAAGAAACTAGGAATAGAAGCAATGTACCTCGACACAGCCTGTATTTGATAAATCTATAGCCAACATTTTACTAAATGGAGAAAAACTGAAACCTTTTCCTGTAAAGTCAGGAACGAAACAGGGTGTCCACTCACTCCACTCTTACTCAATATCATGCAAGAATCCTCAGCCAGAATAATAAGGCAAGACAAAGAAATGAAATTAATACAAATAGGAAAGGAAGAAGTCAAATTATCCCTATTTGCAGATGACATGATCCTATAGTTGAAAGACCCTAAAGACTCCACCAAAAAACTCATAGATCTGATAAACAATTTTGGCAAAGTAGTCGGATAAAAAAAATCAACATTAAAACAATCAGTAACTTTTCATATACCAATAAATGAACAGACTGAGAAAATATTAGGAAAACTATTTCATTCACAATAACCTCAAAAAAATAAACACCTAGTAATAAACCTAATAAAAGCAGTGAAAGGCCTCTACAATGAAAACCATAAAATATCAAATAAGGGAATTAAAGACAACACTAGAAGATGAAAAGACCTCCTGGGCTCAATAACTGGCAGAATATCCTGGCAGAGAGTCTCAAGTGGTAGAGTGCTTTACCTAGCAAGCATAAGCCCCTAAGTACAAACCCCAACACCATCAAAAAAAAAAAAAAGCAAAAAGAATTAGCAGAATAAGTATTATGAAAATGGCTATACTAACAAAAGCAATCTCCCTAAAAATTCCAATGTCATTCTTCATAGAAATAGAATCAATACTAAAATTCATAGGAAAAGACCCCAAATAGTCAAAGCAATCCTGAGCAAAAAGCAACACTGAAGGTATCACAATACCAGACTTCAAATTATATAATAGAGCTACAGTAATAAAAACAGTGTGGTAGTGACACAAAAACAGATGCAAAGGCCAATAGAAAAGAATAAAAGACCCAGAAATAAAAACATACAACTACAGCCTTCCGATCTTTGACAAAAGGAGTCAAAGACATACAGTGGAGAAAAGACAGCCTGTCCAACAAACGGTGCTGGGAAAACTGGCTATGTACATTCAGATGACAGAAACTAGACCCTATCTCTCACCCTGTACAAAAATCAACTCCAAATGGATCAAAGATCCTAATGTAAAATTTGAAATTAGTACAGGAAAAAAATAGAGAAAACTCTGAAAGCTATAGGCATAGGCAATTATGTTCTAAATAGAACTCCAATTGCCCAGGAAGTAACAAGAAGAATTGATACTGGGATTGCATCAAATTCAAGAAACTTTCTGCACATCAAAAGAAAGAAAGAAAGAAAAGAAGTTACCAGAATCAAGAGACAACACACAGAATGGGAGAAAATCTTCACCAGTTACTCAACAGATAAAGGATTAATATACAAATACACCAAGAGCTCAAAAAAACTAAATGGCAAAAGAACAAATAATCTAATCAATAAATGGGGAAGCAAATTAAACAGACAGGTTTCAAAAAACCAAATAACTAACAAACATATAAAGAAATGTTCAACATCCTTAGTCATAAAGGAAATGCAAGTCAAAATGACACTAAGATTCCATCTTACCCCAGTCAGATTGACCATCATCAAGAAACGAACAAATGCTGGCAAGGATGAGGAGGAAAACTCCCACATACTGTTGGTGGGAATGTAATGCAACCACTATGGAAATCAGCATGGCATTTCCTCAAAACACTGAAAAAAGACTTACCTTATGACCCCGCCATACCATTCTAGGGCATATATCTGAAAGAGTGTAAACTAAGAAGCAAGAAAAATACTTGAATACCCAGATTTATTACAGCTCTCTCCACAATAGCCAAAATTTGGAAACAGCCAAGGTGCCCAAAAACCAATGAACAGATAAAGAAAATATACCATAGAATCAACCATAAAGAAAAATGAAATTATGTCATTTGCAGGAAAATGGATGGATCTGGAGATCATCATGCTGAATGAGATAAGCCAAGTTCAAAAGGTCAAATATCAAATGCTCTCACTCATTTCTGGAACCTAGAACTAAAATGATGGTCAGGAGGAAGAAAAGAAGGAAGATAATGGGACATTAATGTATATGGGGGACTGTCTTGAGGAGGATCAGTGGGAGTGGGGAGGGGAAAAGGAAAGGATACTGAGAAGTGAAGAAGATCAAAGTTCACTACATTTATACATATAAAGACAGATAATGAAACCCACCAATTTTTGCAAAAGCGGGGTGGAGGGAGGAAAGAACAGGAAATGGACAAAGTGAGCATGTTCAAGGTACACTGGACACATGTATGGAATTATCACAATGAAATCCCCTCATATTACTAATGTATGCGAATTCAAAAATAAAATTTTTAAAAACAAAAAATACACAATAATTGGAGTACAATAAAATGAAGCACAATTTTAAAAAAGAATTGACAAATGGAATTGCATCAAATTAAAAGGCTTCTGCACAGCAAAGGAAACAATTGCCACAATTAAGAAATAACTACAGTATGGTAAAAAAATCTTTGCTAGCTATTCAGTGGATAAAAGAACATCCAGGATATATAAAGACTTCCAAAAATTAAACACCAAGAAAACAAATAATCTGAGTAGCACTGTGGAACTCACAATGGAGGTTCCTTAAAACACTAAAAATAATGTTTGATCCTACTATACCACTCCTGATCATAGATCCAAAGAAATGTTAACTCACCTACTCAGGAGGCAGAGATCAGGATGATGAGGTTCAAAGCCAGCCCCTGGCAAATAGTTCATGAGACCCTATCTCAAAAGCACCCATCACAGAAAAGGGCTGGAATGACTGAAGCAGTAAGAGCATTTGCCTAGTAAAGTGTGAGGCCCTGAGTTCAAACCCCAGTATCTCAAAAGAAAACAAAATCCAACCAAAGAAATGTAAGTCAAATACAATAGAGATACTTGCACACCCATGCTTAGAGCAGCACTGTTCACAACAACCAAACTATGGAATCAGCCTAGGTACCCATCAACCAAGGAATGGATAAAGAAAATGTAGTATATATACAAAATGGAGTGTTATTGAACATAAAGAATGAAAGTATGTCAATTGCAAGAAAATGGATGGAAGTAGAAACCACAAAGTTAAGTGAAATAAGCCACACTGAGAAAGATAAATATTGAATGGTCTGACTCATATGTGGAATCAGGACCTAAAGCAAAAAAAAAAAAAAAAAAAGAATGACTTGAGTGTAAAATGAAAGGACTGTCTGGGGGTGGTAACCAGTAGGAAGGTGAAAGGTAAAGGTGAAGAGGAGTAAATATGATCAAAGTACTTCGTATGTGTGTATGAAAATAGAATCAAACCCATGAAAATTGTTTTTAAAAGGTTCCATGAAGAGGGAATAAGAAAGAGTAAAACAGGGGTGAATTTGATCACAGTACATTACATGCATGCATGAAAACATCACAATGAGACCCTTTCTTACAATTAATAAATGCTAATAAAAAAGAGGGGAAAAAAGAAGGTTCATCCAATGACCCCAGTGTGCCATAAAAATATTACTTCTTGTGTGGGCCTATGTGTGAAAAAAGTAGGGAGTACTTCTCTAAAGAAACTTACATGTACATAAAGAAGCATGTACAAGAATATCCATAACCACATTGATAGTACTAGTAAAAAAATTATAAGAAACCTAAATTCAAATGGGGAATAGACAAATAATTGCTTTCATAGAATGGAAATAAATAAACAAACTGGAGTATATCTAGTAACCTAATAATCTCAAAAACATAATAAAGCAAGTCACAGGAAGATATGCACTTTTAGCCATTTTATACTTTTTAGTTCCCAAGATTGTTACTTGTCCACCAAAATCCTCTTCCTTAAACAGTAAAGAATTGCAACTGAAAAAAGGCTTCTTTGCTAGCAAAAATGTTAAGTCTGGTTTCCACCTTTTGAAATCTCTGGTCCTAGGTTTATACCTTGCCCCAGCACATGCGCACGCGCGCACACACACACACACAAAGGATTATCAACACAGAAAATACTAGTCCCATCAATAAATACATAGAACAGATTCACTTTCTAATCTGAGCTGTCATATACAAGAAATAAACTTCTGTGTCATTTAAACAATTGTATTTCTTGTCCTATTTGTTATAATAGTTTAGCTTTTTAACCTAACAACACACAAAAAAATGCTATATATATATTTATGAATATGTATATATAAATATATATAACTAAGATTTAAAGGAACAGAATGAAATGATAACTCCAAAATAATAATTTACCTTGAGGAGGAAGAAAGTTAATAGTATTATAGAGAGAGATAAGTGACTTCAACTCTATGTTATTCTTAAGTTAGGAGTTAGGTGTTAAAAACAGTGCTCTTTATGTTAATATGAATATACTTCTGTCTAAAATATTTCCTAATAGCTGGGCACTGGTGGCTCATGCCTGGAATCCTAGCTACTTGAGAGGCTGAGGTCAGAAGGGTCGCAGTTTGAGGGCAGCCCAGGTAAACAGTTCATGAGACCCCATCTCCAAAATAACCAAGCAAAAATGGATTAGAAGTGTGGCTCAAGTGACAGCACTGGCTTTGTAAGCATAAAGCCCTGAGTTCAAACCCCAGTACCACCAAATAATTATATAAATATAAAAAATAAAATATTTCATAATAATCTGGTTGAATGTGTAGATAATGACAAATAAAAAATTTCAATGTACCATTTACCTTATAAAGTTCCTTGTCTTCCTATTCCATTGGTTCTACATTATTGTTATTACTATTGTATGTCAAAACATTTCAGGTTACTTACTTTCCTCATCTTCTGTAGTATTTCCTTCATAATCAGACCCCTGGATAAACTGTAAAATGTTCTGTTTAAAAAACCTCTGGGCCAAATCCAATACATTTTCTCCATTATCATTGAAGGCTTTTAAAGCTTGTATTCCACTGCGCATCCTACTGAGTAGATATTTAAAACAGTGAAGGTGCCCTTCCATGGCTGCTAAGTGAACTATAGGTAAGAGAAAGAAGAATTTTAAAATTGAAATTAAAATTACTTGAAAAAATAAATAATATTAGTAGTAATTCTCACAGGGACATGAGCATCCCTATCCTATATAACAGGGACTTTTCCCTGAACAAGGAGAGTCCATTTTTCTAGCCTGCATAGTCAGTCTTCTAGTCATGTGAAAGCAGTACCCTATGTGGTTGAATAATTATACTTACTGTGAGTATACAGAGAGCAGATGAGGGTTACCAAAGAGCAGGCCCCAGAAAATTATCTTAGAAGGTGAAATCACAATTATGTAGCTTAAAATTACATGAGAAAATGGTTATTAAATAAATTAAATAAATAAATAAATAAAGATTTAATATTTGGGAAAAAGTGGAATAAATAAACCAAAGTGATCACTATGGAAATATTAATATTATTTTCATCACTATGCATTTGTCATCTTTCTATAATTCACTAATTTTTTATTATAATCACAAATACTGGGTCAAAACTGAAGACTAGCTGGTGTGGTAACACCTGTAATCCCAGCACTTAGGAGAAAGAGGCAGGAAGATCATGAGTTTGAGGCCAGGGTGGGCTGCATAGAGAGATCCTATCTCAAAAAAAAAAAATCATCGCCCATTTTGGCAATCCAAACAGTAAAACTGGATGACACAGAAAAGATTAGCATGGCCCTTGTGCAAGAATGACATACAAATTTGTGAGTGTTCTATATTTTCAAAGGATACAGTTCACTGCACCTGTTCTTAAAATTGTCAGTGCTCACAGTCCTTGGTCATAATGGCTGTGATGGTGATGGAGAAGCTCTGAGTACTCTCACATTAAACAGGCTGAAAGTAGATGCTTAAGTTGTTCTCCAGCACCATTTTTTAAAATTTTATTTTGAGACAGGGTTTTGCTAAGTTGCTAGGCTAACCTCAAACTCATCATCCTTCTGCCTTAGCACCTTTTGGAGTTAGGAATTACAGGCTTACACCAACATACTCAGCTGCTCTCCCTGTTTCTTGCCTTGCCATACCTCACTGCAGTGAATTATAAACACAGCAGTCAGAATGATCATCTTAAACATAATTCAGATCCCAAAACCCTTCAACACCTCTTATTACCCCTTAGGCCTCATCATCTATTGCTTACCCCTCAATTCTGTTTCAACTACACTGACTTGCTGTGTCCTTGTTTCTCAACACAAGTGTGTTATATATGCCTCACAAGTGTGATATATATGCTGCTACCTCTTCCTGAAATGTTTTCTCCCAGGATATCCACAAGACTATTTCAACTCCTTCAGGTCTTTAGTCAATTGTTACTTCCTCAGTGAAGACTTTTCTGACCACCCTATTTTAAATTTCATCCCTCTAATATTCTCCACTACCCTTTGCTACATTATATTTATCCAAATTTATACCCCTATATTATGTTATATATATTTGACTCATTCATTTTAGTAATTATTTATCTCTCCCCTCACCACCATAAGAAAGCAAGGGCTTTGTATTATTTACTGAGATATCCCTAGCACTCAGAAGAGGGATTGCCACATGCAAGGTACTCAATGAAAGTATATAAAATTAATATTTTGAAAAAGGCTTGAACATAAGTAGGCTAGTCCCAATGCCCCGATTCATAACCTCTATATTATACTATTATAAAAAACACTATCTACGGTTATAAAATAGTTATACATGTTTAAAGAAACAAAAGTTAGGATTGGAGATGTGGCTCAAGTGGTAGAGTGCTGGCTTTGCAAGTGTGAAACACTGAGGCCAAATACAAGATCCACCAAAAAAAATTTAAGTATTTTTAATGAGTAGACAACAAAAGAATAATCAAATGAATCAAACGTACTTGAATGAAACTCTTACCTTGTATGACACATGGAAAAGTCAGTTCCAGATGGGCTGGGGATTTAAATGTAAAAGTAAAATAAAAAAATTTCTAGAAGAGGACTGGACACATGGTTGCAAGCATGAAGCCTGGAGTTCTAAACACCAGTACTGCCAAAAAAATATATATTCTAGAAAATAATATTAAGCAATGTCTCTACAACCACAGAATAAAGAAGGACGTTTTTGAACAGGATATAAAAAGCACTAGCCATAAGAAAGATATTATGAAACTGGGCTACATTAAAATTAAAACTTATAAAAAAATTAAAACTTATATTCACTAAAAAGATATCTTTAAAAAATAAAAAGGGAGATTCCAAGATGGCAGCTAGAGGTAGGAAGCAGAAAGCGAGCCTCCTATAGTGAAATCTTGGAGAGATGCTGGAAACACACTTTGCAGGCATAATCACTGAGAAGAGGCATAACTTTGACTCCTCTACACCTCCAGCCGGCACAGAGAATCTCCACTTCACGTTAAACGGAGAAACCAGGAGGGCCCCTGGGCTGCCAGTCGCCGGCGCCCAGACGGCTTGGGAAGACACAGACCAGGTGAGCTTCGCAGTACTCCCACAGACAAGCCTGGGCCAGACCTTTAAAGAAGAACTGATACCAACCCTCCTTAAACTGTTCCACGAAATAGAAAGGGAATCATCAGAGACTACTTTGAGAACCTATATTCAAATAAATTTGAAAATCTTAAAGAAATGGACAGATTTCTAGATACACATGATCATCCAAAACTGAACCAAGAGGAAATTAATCACCTGAATAGACCTATAACACAAAATGAAATTGAAGCAGCAATCAAGAGTCTCCCCAAAAAGAAAAGTCCAGGACCTGATGGATTCTCTGCTGAATTCTATCAGACCTTTAAAGAAGAACTGATACCAACCCTCCTTAAACTGTTCCATGAAATAGAAAGGGAAGGGTAACTGCCAAACACATTTTATGAAGCCAGTATTACACTTATCCCAAAACCAGGCAAAGACACCTCCAAAAAGGAGAACTACAGGCCAATCTTCTTAATGAACATTGATGCAAAAATCTTCAATAAAATAATGGCAAACCGAATTCAACAACACATCAAAAAGATTATTCACCACGACCACGTAGGCTTCATCCCAGGAATGCAGAGGTGGTTCAAAATATGAAAATCAATAAACGTAATAAACCACATTAACAGAAGCAAAGACAAAAACCACTTGATCATCTCAATAGATGCAGAAAAAATCCGTTGCTAAGATCCAACACCATTTCATGATAAAAGCTCTAGAAAACTAGGAATAGAAGGAAAGCACCTCAACATTATAATAGCTATATATGACAAACCTACAGCCAGCATTATACTGAATGGAGAAAAACTGAAACCATTCCCTCTAAAATCAGGAACCAGACAAGGATGCCCACTATCTCCACTCCTATTCAACATAGTACTGGAATTCCTAGCCAGAGCAATTAGGCAAGAAGAAGGAATAAAAGGAATACAAATAGGTAAAGAAACTGTCAAAATATCCCTATTTGCAGACGACATGATCCTATACCTTAAAGACCCAAAAAAACTCTACTCAGAAGCTTCTAGACATCATTAATAGCTATAGCAAAGTAGCAGGATATAAAATCAACATAGAAAAATCATTAGCATTTCTATACACCAACAATGAGCAAACTGAAAAAGAATGTATGAAAACAATTCCATTTACAATAGCCTCAAACAAAATCAAATACCTAGGTGTAAACCTAACAAAAGATGTGAAAGACCTCTACAAGGAAAACTATACACTTCTGAAGAAAGAGATTGAGGAAGACTATAGAAAGTGGAGAGATCTCCCATGCTCATGGATTGGTAGAATCAACAGAGTAAAAATGTCGATACTCCCCAAAGTAATCTACATGTTTAATGCAATTCCCATCAAAATTCCAATGACATTCATTAAAGAGATTGAAAAATCTACTGTGAAATTTATATGGAAACACAAGAGGCCACGAATAGCCAAGGCAATACTCAGTCAAAAGAACAATGCAGGAGGTATCACAATACCTGACTTCAAACTATATTACAAAGCAATAACAATAAAAACAGCATGGTACTGGCACAAAAACAGACATGAAGACCAGTGGAACAGAATAGAGGACCCAGATATGAAGCCACACAACTATAACCAACTTGTCTTTGACAAAGGAGCTAAAAATATACGATGGAGAAATAGCAGCCTCTTCAACAAAAACTGCTGGGAAAACTGGTTAGCAGTCTGCAAAAAACTGAAACTAGATCCATGTATATCACCCTATACCAATATTAACTCAAAATGGATCAAGGATCTTAATATCAGACCCCAAACTCTAAAGTTGATACAGGAAAGAGTAGGAAATACTCTGGAATTAGTAGGTATAGGTAAGAACTTTCTCAACGAAACCCCAGCAGCACAGCAACTAAGAGATAGCATAGATAAATGGGACCTCATAAAGCTAAAAAGCTTCTGTTCATCAAAAGAAATGGTCTCTAAACTGAAGAGAACACCCACAGAGTGGGAGAAAATATTTGCCAGCTATACATCAGACAAAGGACTGATAACCAGAATATATAGGGAACTTAAAAAACTAAATTCTCCCAAAACTAATGAACCAATAAAGAAATGGGCAAGTGAACTAAACAGAACTTTCTCAAAAGAAGAAATTCAAATGGCCAGAAAACACATGAAAAAATGCTCACCATCTCTAGCAATAAAGGAAATGCAAATTAAAACCACACTAAGATTCCACCTCACCCCTGTTAGAATAGCCATCATTAGCAACACCACGAACAACAGGTGTTGCCGATGATGCGGGGGAAAAAGGAACACTCTTACACTGTTTGTGGGAATGTAAACTAGTACAACCACTCTGGAAAAAAATTTGGAGGATCCATAAAAAGCTAGACATTGATCTACCATTTGATCCAGCAATACCACTCTTGGGAATATACCCAAAAGAATGCAACACAGGTTACTACAGAGGCACCTGAACACCCATGTTTATTGCGGCACTTATTCACAATGGCCAAGTTATGGAAACAGCCAAGATGCCCCACCACTGACAAATGGATTAAGAAAATGTGGTATCTATACACAATGGAATTTTATGCAGCCATGAAGAAGAACGAAATGTTATCATTCGCTGGTAAATGGATGGAATTGGAGAACATCATTCTGAGTGAGGTTAGCCTGGCCCAAAGGACCAAAACTCGTATGTTCTCCCTCATATGTGGACATTAGATCAAGGGCAAACACAACAAGGGGATTGGACTTTGAGCATATGATAAAAGCGCTAGCACACAAGGGAGGTATGAGGATAGGTAAGACACCTGAAAAACTAGTTAGCATTTGTTGCCCTTAACGCAGAGAAACTAAAGCAGATACCTTAAAAGCAACTGAGGCCAATAGGACAAGGCGACCAGGAACTAGAGAAAAGGTGAGATCAAAAAGAATTAACCTAGAAGGTAACACACACGCACAGGAAATTAATGTGAGTCAACTCCCTGTATAGCTATCCTTATCTCAACCAGCAAAAACCCTTGTTCCTTCCTATTATGGCTCATACTCTCTCTACAACAAAATTAGAAATAAGGTCAAAATAGTTTCTGTTGGGTATTGAGGGGGTTGGGGGGAGAGGGAGGGGGCGGAGTGGGTGGTAAGGGAGGGGGTGGGGGCAGGGGGTAGAAATGACCCAAGCCTTGTATGCACATATGAATAAAAATAAATAAATAAATAAATAAATAAAAAGGGACTGGCAAAGTGGCTCACATAGCAGAGCACCTGCTTAGCAAGCATGATGCCCTGAACTCAAATCCTAGTACACCAAAAAACTAAAGTAAAAAGTAAAAGGGCAATACATAGAATGGAAAAGGTATTTGTAACACATGTAACTGACAAGACTTATATCTACACTATAAGAAGCACTTTTACAATGCAATAAGAAAAAGAAGAGCCAATAGAAAACTTGTAAGAGATTTAAACCGTTACTTCCTAAAAGAAAAAAACCAAGTAGTCTTTAAACATATGAATATCTTTAGTAATCAGAGTAAATATATATATTAAAACCCCTATACACCCAACAAAAAGACTAAATCTTAAAAAAACAAAGTAAAAAGCAAACTACTAAAACCCAGCGTTAATAAGAAAGTAAAGCCATGCATACTATTCTGCCTTCCCCTTCATATATGTGCTTAAGATTCCTTTAAGATATAGTCTAAGTAACATTTTCACTCCAATCTCACTGTGAAATATCTGTCTTCTAAATTTCTACCACTTCTTAAAGAAGGCAGGGTGTTTAGAGCCTGTGTCTCAACTGGTCACCTTATTCCAGGTTAGATAATTTCAGGAGCAAATTAACTTAAATACAATAGTGTCTTCTATTTATACTATTTAAAGTTTTTTTTTAAGTTGTTTATGAGCAGAGAGGTATGAAGTTACAAAATAAGAACTAAGGCTGGATATAACTCAGTGATAAGGCACTTGCCTAGCATGTGCAAGGACCTCAGTTTGATCCCCAGTATCATACACACATATTAAAAAAAAAAACTAAAAATAAGAACACTAGACAGTAGATGAAAGAAAAAGGTGGTGGGAAATCCAAATATATGTTTAATTTCACCAGTTTCTCTTTTCCTTATAAGGTTCCTGAAAAAAAAATACTCAACACATGAGATGTACATAACATAGGGATGATATAAAATAAAAAATGTTCTGAGTGTAAAATGGGGACTGTTTGGAGAGAAACCATCAAGAGGGGAGAGAGCAAAAGAACAGAGTAATAGGGATGAATATGATCAATGTACTTTAATATGCATGTATGGAAACAGAATAATGAAATCCATTAAAATTGTAAAAAAAAATAAGGGGGAAATAAGAAGGATAGGTAAGAAAGAAATAAGAAAGAAAGAGGGGTAAATTTGATATAATACATAATATTCATTAGTGGAAATATTACAATGAAACACTTTGTACAATTAAAATACACTAAAAAAAGTTTGTGTCAACGTATTTATTATTTCAGTTTTGTGAAGGACTGGTAGGATAATGACTTTAAATTTCTTAAATATAATTAAATATTAAAAATGTGTATCAATGAAAAACTAAACTATTTGCTTTTTAGAATACCTGGAAGGTTTCCATTGTAGTCCACATCTTCTATGCCACATCCCCATTTGATAAGCAGTTGCAAACAACCAAGCCGACCATGAAAAGCTGCATAATGGACAGGTCTCCATTCTTTCTTATCAGTCACACTGGGATCCTAAAGGTAACATTAACAATGATCCAGTTTCTTTCCATTTTGTAGGGAAAGTACTAAGTCTAGCAGCTAAATTCTACAAATGAAAATTAGCTGTTCTTAAAATTGTAAGGGAAGCACTGAATAGAAAAATGTACTGCAATCAATAAAATATTTTATGAAGTATTAGTAAAATTTTATAAAATAGCATTTTTAAGAACACAACTAATCACACAAAATAGTTTTTAGAAAGGAAGTTAAGTAGTCATTTTACTAGTCACAGATTCCTAACAACAAAAAGGATAGATTTAAATGACCAAATCATATCATTGAGAACATAAGGAATTAGTGAAGAGTATTTAATATGCTTTTCATTTTAACTATAGAAACAACTCTCATATGTCTTCAATGTAGGTAGTTCTTTTCTCATAAGAAGTTATTTTTATAACCACTGGGTAATATTAAAAATAAATATCTAGATGAAATTTCAGGAGAAATAAATCACTTTCTAAATTGATATATGAAATAATAGTTTCAAAAGAAACACATAGGTAGGCATAGAAATTTACAATCACCTGGTTAAGATATGTTTAAAAGTTTCAGAATCTTCTTGGTTAAAATTTGAACTGGTACAAAAATCCCAAAGTCTCTGAAACACCTTGCACTACTAAACTGTTTTTGTGGCGTTGTTGGCTTTGTTTATTTGGTTTTTGTCAGAAGAGATATTTTCCTAAATTATTGCTTCCATGTTTAAAGATGGAAAAGCCAAAAGGAACAATTAAATTACTTCCTCAAAGTCAGATAAGGGATTTAAAAACAGCAGGAAAAGATGATTAAATCTATCACGTACTATCTCATCTATATGATCATATGCAACCATTTATTAACAGAAGCCTCTCACCACTCCACTTCGGAGCATTATTTGTAAAGTGAAAGAATGTCCATGAGTTGCAGCAAGGTGTAAAGGAGTGCATCCACGATCATCTTGAGCTGCCAGATTTGCTCCATTGATTATAAGAGCCTAAAAACAGAGAAATGGTAATGGAGTTTACATTAGTACAGATGTTAAATTGCAAATGCAAATATAGATTAAAAGCAAGCAATTAATTAACCTATAGCAAAATTATTACACTCACATATATGTGCTATAGGCAAACATTCTTAGCCAATCCTAAGAAAAATGCTTAAGGTCTTAACATTGCCAAAGAGACATTTACAATACCTGATTGGTTTTTTTGCAGAGGTGGGGTACTAGGGTTTGAACTCAGGGCTTTGTGTTTGCAAAACAGCTGCTCTACCACTTGAGCCATACCTCTCATCTATTTTGCTCTGGTTATTTTGGAGTTGAGGTCTCAACAACTATTTGTCCAGGCTGGCCTCAAACCACAATCCTCCCAATCTCAGCCTTACAAGTATCTAGGATTACAGATGTAGCCACTGGTGTCCAGCTCCTTTCTTGATTTTAACCAAACTTTGTTTACCAGTATCCCAGAGCAAAGGATTACTCAGACATAATTCCAAATATCATGGGTTTTAGGAAGAATAATCTCCATAATTTTGTCTGATATATCTAGTCAATAATTATCATAAATGATATACTAAGTGCTTGCTTTGTTTTTAAAGTCATGAAAAATATGAAATTTATCAATTTAGAGAATTAGGACATATGCAGAGACAAAGATAATCAACTATACAAGGCAGTCCTTAATAAGGAACTTGGTATAATACCAAAGAGTACCACAAAAGCTCTGAGAAGGAAGAAATCACTTTGCGGAGGATAAGCAAGGCACAGGGAGTGACTTGACCTAATGGTTGGAGGAAGGAAAGCATCAGATAAAGTTTCATTTGATCCTGATGTCCTCTGAAGTCACTATTACAATTTCTTTTTTTTCATGGTCTACCTTCTCAAATTAATACCTAACAATTTGAGGGTTAAGACTTGAATATTTTTATTTTGGGAAAACACAAACATTTGGACTATAGCTATAAAGCAGATACTTTGGACATGATTGTGAAATCTCTTGAAAGAACCCAAAGAGTCAACTACTTCAGAGATTAAAGGATGTCTGGTCTCATATCATTTGAGTGTTTGAGTTAGTATCAAAATATCTGAGTCACTGCAATCAAATAATTTCTTGTTTAAAGCATATAACTACATCTACTGTTGCAGGAGTTTGCTAGCTGAGATAGGAGGCTCTGAGGCAATTAGCAGGAAGCAATGTTCTATTGTGCCAGCAGAGACCCAGTGGACTCATGTCCAAAGGCTGAGCAGCGAGAACAAAGGGGTCTCACCTTATACACCCTTGCAAACAAGTTACAGAGGCAATAAAATTACAAAACAAGGTTTAACCCATATATGGTTACATGTAATTCTATAGGCTACTTCACCCTAGTGCTAAGTGCCCTTCTACCCCTAGTGCTGTGTGACCTTCTTCACCTTTGAATTCTTCAGGTTTTAGCTCTCTGCTATGGCATCCCTCCCCCCCTGCTACTTATATCAGGACTCAGGCCTCACTTGTTTTCTTCTGATCCTCCTCCCTGCTACATTACTGGATCAAATAATTAGAATAGCAACAGCCTAACAAAACTAAAAAGCAAAGTAACCAAAGTTACCATTACCTGCATGCAAGCATCATGACCCCTAATCGCAGCTATGTGAGCTGGTGTCCAACCTCTTGTAGTTCCTTGTGTGATATCAGCTCCATGCCAGAGCAGCCAATGAAGACACTAAGAAAATAACCATGTTAAGAAAGGATAAGTCAGGTGTTGTTAGCATTCTTGTAACTTTTAGTTTTAGTATATTAGCATGAAATTCCCACTGAGAAACATAAGTGCAGAAACCAGGTGCAAGAAAAAACAAAAGCACAAGCACAAAGACTTGGTATCATTTGCCTGCCAAGAGATTAATAACCAATAAAATATGAAAAAGCTCAATCTCACTAATAAAATCACAATTCACTTATTCAACAAATATTTACAGAGAGACTATTATAGGTTAACTTCACTCAGGTACTGAAGAATAAAGCCACTATAAACATTCATACACTGATTTGACATTTCTGTTGAATAAATAGGTAGAAATGAGATTGCTGAGATATACAAATAAGTATATGTTTAGCTTTTTAAAAAAATGGCCCAGCTGTTTTCCAAATTGGCTGTATGTTTTCCATTCTCACCAGCAGTATATGAAAGTTCCAGATTCTCCATACTCTTAGCAATATTTGATTTTGTATGTGTGTGGTACTGGAGTTTGAACTCAGAGCCTCATACTTGCTAGGCAGGCACTCTACCACTTGAGCCACAATTCCAGCCCAGCAATATTTGGTATTGTCCTTTTGGGGTTTTTTTTTTTTTAATGGAACGCTTCATGAATTTGCTTGTCATCCTTGCGCAGGGGCCATGCTAATCTTCTCTGTATCATTCCAATTTTAGTGTATGTGCTGCTGAAGTGAGCACTGTTTTTGCCATTCTTATGGATACGTAGTGACATCTCATTGTATTTTAATTTGCATTTCTCTAATAGCTAATGATGTTGAATATCTTTTCATATGCTCAATTGTCATCTTTAAGTAAGTATCTATTTTAGACTTTTTCCCATTTACATAATACAAAATTTTTGTTCTTACTGTTGAGTTCTAAGAGTTCTTTAAACTGGCTACAGTTTTTAGTCAAGTATATGATTTGCAAGTATTTTCTCTTATGTTTTCTTCCGTAAGTTTTACAAGTTTAATTTTTACACTTATCCATCATCTGTTTTGAGTAAGTGTTTGGATATAGTGCCAGGTATGGGTCAAGATTCATTTTCTTACATATAAGCATCCAATTGTGCTAGCGCAATTCAATAAAAATACTATCCATTAAGTTGTTCTTGCTTCTTGCCAAAAATCAATTTGTGGAAGTACACATCTACTCGGAAGGCTGAGGCAGAAGGACAGCTTGAGCTTAGGAATTTGAGGTCAGCATGGGCAACATTTCAAGATTCTGTCAAAAAAAAAAACAGTTTGCTGGAGGTGTGACTAAAGTGGTAGAGCACTTGCCTACTAAGCACAAGGTGAGTTCAACCCCAGTACCACCCCAAAAAAATTCAGTTGAAGGGTCAGATATAGTGGCACTTGCCCGTAACCCTAGCTACTCAGGAGGTAAAGATGAGGAGGATCATGGTATTGTAGCCAGCCAACACAAAAATTTAAAATGGTCCCAACTCAACCAACATGCAGAGCATGGTGGCATGTACCTACAAATCCAAGATAGGAGACATAGGTAGGAGGATCACTGTTCAAAGCTGGACCTGGGCAAAAATGTGAGACCCTTTCTGAAAAATAATTAAAAGTAAAAAAGGGTTGGGGATGTGGCTCAAGTAGAAGAGTACCTGCCTAGCAGTTGTGAAGCCCTAAATTCAAATCCCAGTACTGACCAAAAAAAAAGAAAAAAATCAATTGAACATTCAGCATAACTTCAGAAATGGCTGAGTAAGGAACCTGGCAAATCCTCCACAAGAAGTAATGATAAAAGCAGACAAAATTGTCAAAAACAACCATTTTAAGACTCTAGAAATTGACCAAGGTCATGTGACAAAAATACTAAGCATTTTTTCAAGAAACCTATTGAATCTCACTAAGAACAGGGAGGTCTGTGATGTTTAACCTTAGGCTACAACTATCCCTACTCTTTCCCTTCCCTCAGCTTCCTAACGCAGAGTTGCTACTTGGTTGTATTGCTCCATTATCCTATCAGAAAGAACAACTTTATTTGGAGCTGAACATGAAAAATTCTATGCTCCAAGAACAATCTAATCTCAGTGGCCAACAACCTGGGAGAGCCAACATCATAGCTAGCCTGAAATCATGATACTTGGTTGAAGTAAGCCATCCAGAAAATTCATTTAGAAATATAAGAAATAGGGACTGGCAGAGTGACTCAAGTGGTAGTGTGCGACTTAGCAAGCGTGAAGCCCTGAGTTCAATGCCTTAGTTCTGCCCCAAAAAATTAAAATTAAAAAAAAAGTTAAGAATTGTACTGGCTAAAGTGAGCCCATACTCAGGAAAGACTGAAAAGGGCTTAAGTTTACTAAACTTACCTTAGTTTAAAAATACATATCGCTTACCTCCAAACTTCCAGAATGTGCTGCCCAATGTAAAGGGCTAAATTTGTGAAGAACATCCACTTCATTAATGCTAGCTCCGTGCTCCACTATTTCTGAAAGCTGCATAACATCTCCAGCCCGTACTGCATCATGTATGCTACCAAAATGCACCTTCTTCCTGGCACCTATTGAAAAGTCAAATTGCTTAATATATTTTAGAACTACGAAGAAAAAAAGACTAGAGCAATGATTTGACAAAGCACTTCAGCTCTCCAAATAATTTACTGCAAAAATGTTTGTGGTGAATATCTTAATCAGACTTCTAATTTTATCTCTGACATGTAAAAGAGCATGAAGGTTGACATTCCCATCCTTATGAGAAAGAAACTGAATAGACAGAAAATCAACAACTTTCCTTGGACCCATCAGAGAACTGAGATCTTAGAGCAAACTCCCATCCCAAATCTGGAGAGACAGGGAAATACAGAGCAGAACCAATGAAGCCATAAGCTGGTAGAAGCACCTGAGTAGTGATTCTGTTAACTTTCCCAAGCTGAGTATTCCTAATGGCTGTAGTCTTAGGGAGTCCCTATACTTTCATTGATTTTGCATTCAGAAACCCACCAGAGTATCACTGTGAAAAGTCAAGAAAAAACACCTCGTGTCTTTTGGGGGGATAAGGGGTGGTTAGGACATGTGACCATTTTGAAATGTGCTCAGTGTGTTTTTTATAACAAAGGCCAATGAGAAAAAGCATTGCCAGAACCTTATTTCACATACACAGAGATACTTAACTGATATTTTTCTAAATTACATGTCTTATAGTAAGAAAGGAATGGCAAGTCACAATTTTTCACATACTCTAATGGTTCTAAGCATTGAGAGTGCACTGTCTGTCTTACTGTACTTCAAAATATTTTAATATACATTGTGACCAAGAGACAATAAGAGTTATCTAAGCATGAACAGTTACTAAAGGAGGAAGAAGGAAGCATTCTCTAAACAAAACCAAGAGAGACATGATTTCTGACCTCAAGTCATTTTCAAAATCACCAGCCAGGCACCGGTGGCTCATGCCTGTAGTCCTAGCTACATGACAGGCTGAAATCAGGAGGATTGTGGTTCAAAGCCAGCGCAACACATAGGTTTCAAGACTCCATCTCCAAAGGGGGTCAAGCAGTAGAGCACCTGCTTTGCAAGTATGAAGTTCTGAGTTCAAATACCAGTCCCACCAAAAAAAGAGAAAGAAAATAATTATCCAATACTTCTGGCGAATTATTTATGCAAACTTGTAGTACTATTTATCTATATACATATAAATATGTTCTCTCTCCACAATCAGATTAAATTCCTTTTCTTTCTTTCTCTCTTTTTTTTTTTTTTTGAGACAGTGTCTTGCATGTTACCCAGGCTGAACTTGAACTCATAGGTTCAACTGATCCTCCAACCTTAGTCTCCCAAGTAGCTGGGGCTACAGGCACCACCATGCCCAGCAGAATGCTAATTTCTTGAAGGTTATAATCAAATATTACAATAAAAGCATATCGTACCTTATAAAAATCCTTAGTAATCTGGTATGTATATACTCAAAAATCCCTTCTATCTATCATGAACCAGGCAACTATGGTAACATGATAGAAAACAGATATAAATTTAATACATTTCCTTTCCACCAACTATTTGGATAAATATAATGAAAAAAAAACTGACATCAGAAACTGACAAAGAAAAAAATCAAAGATATTAAGATATATGCACATAAGAAAGGGAGCAAACACTAATAAACATTTAGTGAAGTTAATCCCCTGGGTGAAACTTTCATTCTTCTCCTTTAAACTTGTACAAATAGTGTTCCACCCACTCTAATAATCCATTTTTTACTCAGACACTATCTCAAGCACTTCAAGTCCCTACTCCAAACTGCTACTGGTTAGCCAATGCTAGTCTATAGAACAAAATCCAAACAGTATGATGGTTCATTTACCTACACAACTTGGCTCCATCTAATTTTATGGCCTCTTGTTCTTACTACATTTCATCCAGATTCATTCATTCATCATTAATTTGGTGTTCACCAAAACAATAAAAAGATAAAACATGATGATCTCTACCCTGAAGAACTCACAGATTAGGAGAGAGAAAGCAAACACAAATTATAAATAATATGATAAGATCACTGACAAATATATTCATAAGAACTTATGAAGGCACAGATAACTTCTCACTCAGCTATGGCATTAGGAAAGGGAAACATCTAAGATGAATCTTCAAGCATTAGCAGGAGTTTGCCAAAAAAGGGAAGAGCAGTATGAATATTAGGAAGTACTATGAAAAAAAAAATCCTATTGCTGAAGCATAATGGAAGAAGAGGCTGGAACTAGATAAAAGACAGACTATGGTGGAAATTGTTTTTAAAAACTTTGATGTGAACAAAGGCTGCATGTTTTCCTCATATATGGGAGTATAGACACAATACAAATAAAAGCAATATTATAAAACAAAACAGGCTACACTAAGGAGAGGTCACTAACAGGAGAGGAAAGGTAAGAGAAGGCAGTCAAGAAGGTGAATGTGGTTGATGTACTTTCTACACAAGAATGAATATGGAATTTTCAAACCTGTTGAACTCGCCATAAAAAGGGAACTAAGGTAGAAAGGAGAAAAATAGAGGGGATGAACCAATTTGGATTATAATACATATATACATGGAAATATCATAATGAAATACCCTGTATAGCTACCTTAAACAAACAAAAATGCTTTTTTTTTCAAAACAGAGAACAGGAAGGTAAAACAAGTCCTGTGTGGGAGCTGGCACCAGTGGGAGCGGGGAGAATATAAGGAAAGGGTGTAAGAGGGTGAATATGGTGGAAATATTGTATAAACATGTATGTAAATGGAAAAAAGGAGATATGTCAAAACTATTCCAGGAATGGGAGGAGAGAGGGAAAAAGGAAAATGATGGAGGGGTGAATTCAACTATGATATATTTTAAGAACTTTTATATATGTCACAATGCACCCTAGTACAATAAAAATATGTCAATAAAAAATAAAATGCACTACCATTAAAAAACTTTGACTTGAACAGAAAAGAGACAATCATTAAGGGATTTTAAACAGAAGAATTACAATGATCATATTTGTAATACTAAGTTTATATAGCTACACTGAGGGAAATTTACTGAGTAACCAACATGACTAGAGAGTCAGGATGCCTATGTAAGAAGACAGTTACTATAGTCTAGATCAATGAGATTGAAAAAGGAATCAGATTCAACAAATAGTAATGAAAATCAGATGAACTGAATTTGGATGTATAGCATGAAAGAAGGGAAAAGTCATGGGATAACTCCAAGGTATATGGCTAGTCACCTGAGTGCTGTAGTGCCACTAAGGTAACAAGCACTGAGGACAGAAAGGACACACAGATACACAACTACATTTTAGAAAGATTAATCTTTAAGTTCCTGAGCACTATTTCCAGAAGGGGGATGTATACCTAAACCTGAAGCTCAGAGATGAGATTTGGATTTCATATCTTAAAGTTAGGTGTATTTCAATCTTATAAAGCCTGTTAATCTGGTGTGTTGATGCATGCCTGCAACCCCAGTACTCTCAAAGCTGAGGCAGGAGGATAAAGATTTGGAGGCCAGTGTGAACTATATAGTGAAACCCTGTGTCAAAAAGAAAAAAAAAAAGATCATTCTTATTCTCACTGTAGAGATGACCCATTTTGAGTCTATTGGAAGTGTATTCCTTTCCTAATAAACTTTACTAAAAAAACAAACAAACAAACCTTTTACTGACCCCATCCTAACCCCACATGGGAACCGTAGCACTCTACTGTCATTCATTACAACTCATCACACTAGCCACTATTTATCTTCCCCACTATAAGGTAGGGAATGCACCTGTCTTCTTTGCTAATATTTCCACAAGACACAGAACATAGTAGGCACTCAAGAACTATCTACTGGATGTTTGAGTGAATAACATAGATTTGGAGGTCATCAATAGGATAGTCCTAACACATAACAAGAAAAAGGAGAAACAGTGATGGATGGCTATCGAGGGAAAACAGCAACTTTTAAAGAGAGGACAGGAGAAAAGAAGTCCGGAAGGATGGGGACAGGCAAACAGCGCTGGGAGTCCAGTAAAATGAAGGGAACGGAGGCGTGACAACTGAGGATGAACATGCCAGCAGGGGGCAGACCTGCGCCCACTGAAGTCAAGAGTGTAACAGAGGCGGGGGCCAACAAAAAGAGTGTCACTCACAGGAGCTGGCAGAGTCCCTAAAGGAAGTGGTGGGGCTGGAATCAGCCACGCCGGGCATGGTGCAGACCCTCGGCCTGGGGCTCTGGGGCGGGGTTGAGTCCAAGCCCCTGCTGCTGCGGCGGTCTTCACTGGCCGTCACCCATGAGTCGGTGCAGCGGTAGCGACCGTCTTCGTCGTCGCTAGTACCGGGGACACCGTCCTGCCTCCTGGCTCTCTCCCAAGGGTCCCTACAGCGAGAACTCTCGTCTTCACTTTCTCTCTCCCAGAAGCCACTCAGGCGGCGGCTGGTGTCTTCGCTGGCGCCTTCGCTCACGCCGGAGGATTCGCTGTCCGTGTAGCCGTGGTCTTCACTTACTCCGTCCCAAGAACTACTGAGGCAGTGACTGCCATCGTCACTCCCTCCCTCCCAGGAGCCGCTGAGGCAGCGGCTGCGCTCATCATTGACTCTGTCCCCGTAGTCGCTGCTTTGAAAACCCGGGACTTCGCTGGCGCTGTCCCACGTACCACGCAGGCTGAGGCCGCGGTCTTCTCGGACGGTCCCCCCCGAGCCGCTGCTCTGCTGGCCGGGGCTTTCAGTTAAACTCACGTCGCTGCTGAGGAAGGCGCGGTCTCCTCTCGCCCTCACCCTAGAGCAGCCGTGACGGTGGCCATCCTCGCTCCTGACTCTGTCCCGAGAAGCACTACGTTGGTGGCCTAGGTCTTCACCGATTCTTCTCGAGTCCCTGCGGGAGAAGCCGACGTCTTCCCTTACTCTTCCCGTGGAGATTCTGCCGCGGCGGTCACCGTCTACCCGCTTTCTTTCCCTGTCGTCGCTGCGACAAAACTTCTGGTCTTCCCTAACTCGTCCCCTGGACTCGGTGCCGTGATGGCCGTGTCGGCCGTTTGTCTTCCACACGTGGTGGCTAGTGCGGCGGCCGCCGTCTTCGTTCACTACTCCACGCGAGCCGCTGCGGCGGCGGCCGCCGTCGGCTGGTACCCTTTCCTCCGAGTCGCTTTCCAGCGTCCCGACTCCAGCTACCCGGAGCTAGCAGTGGCGGAGCCGTAGCCTTGGAAACAGGCAAACTTCCGGCGTGTGCGGTCATTTCCTGTTCTTCGCTGTTTGCGTCACTTCCTGCTTCCTTCCTTTCACCTTTTTCGAGGCTTTGCCTGTAGAGCTGTGGGACCGTGGTGTGGAACAGTTTTCGGTGTTACAAGAGCCTGTCTGGGACCGTCTCTGGAACATTCTACCTTCGATCTCGTCCTCCATCAGTCAGCGACTCAAATGGAGGCCCCAGGACTTGCAGTCTGCGTAGGTGACCTGTGTGGCGCGGACCGGGCGGGGCCTTTTCGTCCTTGGCAAACTTGGTATATGTTTTTCAGTGCGGGTTGAAAGAAAATCTATTCTTATCCTACCGTTTCACATATATAGAAAAAGACCTGAAAAAGAAGTTAGCAGTAGCAGCCGCTGTCATTATTGAGTGCTTACTAGTTAGTGCCTTGCTCTTTGATACTCGCTTGTTAGGTGTTTTCCACATTTTACAGGTCGAGACTCAAGATGTCAGTAATTTGCTAAGGCCAAACAACAGGTAAGTTGTAAAGCCAGTGTAAAAACGCAGGTCACTAATCAAAAAGACTGTTCCAGGTCTCCTGGCTTCAAATCCAAGGTTTCTTTCATGGTAACTTCAACAATTTGGCCCAAATCTTTCTCTTCAACCGCATTGCTTAACACATCCTTCCATTCACTATTTGTTGCAAACATATGGGTCAGGTTTTGGGCGGGCGGCCGAGAATGCAGAGAAATTATACAGATGTGAGTAAGAATTCTCTGCCTTCCGGGGGCATCACCCACCTTGCATCACTTTCAGCCCGTTTCTTCCATCCTTACTGCCTTGCCACACATAACTTGTCCCTTCAGAAATAAGGAACTAGAGTCTTAGATACAAATTTTTCCTATCTCTTTGCTATGTGCACTTCCTCCTGCCCAGAAACTGCCCTGCCCTCTCATACTTGTGTTTTGTGAATACTTTGGGAAATTCCTGGCCCCTACCTCTGCTCTCTCTTGAGGTAAATTGCCTTTCTTTAACATAGCCTTTTGTAATATTAATAACTTCCATTTTCTGAGTTCATATGATCAGTCTGACACTGAACTAAGTGCCATATATTAATGTTCTTATTTGTAACTTTAGCCCTTCAGAATAGGTATTTTTCCTTTTTACAGATAGAGGGAAGAAGGGACAAGAACTAATTGCCTAAGTATACAGGCAGCAAATAGTAAATACCTGGTTAGGATTCCTCCCAGACCCTTTTGTTGCACCTCCTCATCTGAATTCCCAAAGCCTTTATCCAATCACTTAACGCGTTGTATTGTAATTACCTATTTAGCAATTGATTCTTACCACCAAGAACTCTGAGCTCTTCATTTTGGTGTTCCTAACATCTAGAATATTAATTTCAAGGAAAGGGCTTACTTAGTACCTATTGTGTGGTTGAGTGAATGGTTGATCACTGTTAGGTGGATGAACTAGTAGGTTGAAAATGAAGTTTTTCAATGTTGGAAGGGAATGTGGGATTAGTTTCTCCAATCTCATTTTTTTAAGTGGGGCAACTGAGGCCTTTTATCTGATAGACTTTTATTCAGTTATGAGGCCAGTTTCTACACTAAATGATTTGGAAATGTTTTCAAACTTAATCTGTATTTTTTTTTTATTTTTACAGATAAACAGTTCAGATGAATTTGAACCTGCTATGATGGATTCCATATTAGTACAGGTGTAGCCACTTATATATAACAAAGGTTTTATTTTTGCTATGCTATATACAGTAGATAAATTTATTGAGGGAATAAAGCAGCATGTGACAAATCCTTAAAGTTACACACATGCAGAAAAGATCAGAAAAAGAAATAGATAGCAAAGAAAGAGATAAGCTCCCCCAAAATAAACTGAAAAGGAATTGGTAGCAAAAATTAATGAAATAGTAAAATTGATCATACTCCTGGAATTTGAACAGAACAGTAAGTAGACACTTTTAGCAAACCTGTGGAATTAAAGTAAAGAATATATATATTGGAAACGTATTACAGCTACAGAGGTCTTTGAAAATCAGAAGTGAATTATTTTGTGAAGACTTGTACTAATAATATTATATTTCTAGGAAAATATAAATTTCAAAAGATTGGCTCAAAAAGGTTAGCTCAAGAGTTAGATAACCTTCATAAATAAATAATCAAAAGAAAGTCCTAAAATAGTCTATCCTTAACAAAAGTTACAAGATAAAAACCAAGAAGGTTGTAGGGCCAGACATGTTAGCTCATGCCTGTAATCCAAGCTACAGGGAGGCAAAAATCAAGAGGATCACTGTTTAAGACCAGCCTTGGCAAAAAGCAAGGCCCCCATCTCAACAAATAAGCCAGATATGGTAGGGCACTTTGTAATCCTAGCTACATAAAGGCTACAGGTAGGAGGATCATGGTCAGAGCCCAGCCCTGAACAAAAAAACAAAGACATTCTCTGAAAAATAACTGAAGCAAAGAATGGCTGGGAATGTAACTCAAGTGGTAGTCTAGTAAGTGCAAGGCCAAATTTAGTCCCTAGTACTGCCAAACAATGAAAAGGGTGGAGTGCTTCCCATAATGCAAAGGACCCTGTTGTTATATTACCCGTGAACCCACAACTGTGTTTTTGCAAAGTATTCAAAATTACTTGCTCAAGCATGTATACTATGTAGTCATTGCAACACTTTGTAATTAACTAGGAAAAAAATGAATATCCATCAGTAAAAAAATGGCTAAATTATAGTACATTTATAATACAAAATATTTACACAGTGGTGGAAATGCAAATCTACAGTCATCTGTCAGCATAGACAGAGTTGTAAGATACAGGCAATGAAAAAAGGTGCAAACTAATACTTTTGTGATCTCTTTTTTTTTTTTAATTGCTTTGTAAAGGAATTATAAGTTTGGAAATTTTCTACACCAAATTATTGACTCAGCAGTTCCTTCACAGAGCAAGAAAGAGGGTGTGAAAGGAGACTTCATTTTTTTTTAATGCTTGTTTTTTGTTTTTTCTTAAATTAACCTTAGTAAAAATATTGGCACAAAGAAAAACATGTACTATCCCATAAAATAGTTCTAAGGAGTAATAGACCAACACAGATTAAGAGGCTAAACATACTTGTTTTAAGAGTCATTGATATACTTAGGAGAGCAATTTTACTAAGACTGAAGATACAAATCCCAGATTGCACGGGATTTTAAGGTAAGTGACTAACTGTGAAAGCGGTTTCTCAGTTGAAACAAGGTTCAGAATTCATGCTGGAGTGGACATCTCAGCATTCCAGAGTAGGAATTGTGAGGAGACTGGTTCCAATTAGTAAAAATGGCTTATCCTACTGGAGGCTGGCTTAAGTGGGAAAGCGCTTTGCCTAGCAAGCACAAGGCCTTCTGCTAGGACTGGCTAGTCTTCCTCAACCTTTTTTTCCCAAAGCGACCAAAGCAGACCGTCCTCCTAATCTCCCATAAGTCAGCTCTTTGCACATCTAATTTCAGAGGACGGAGCAGGGCCAACTCTGAACAAAAAATGTTAAGTGGGTTTTGATAGCTATCTCTGCTTCTTCCCCATGTAATTTTTTAATGGGACAGCCTATGTTGCCCAGCCATGTACTCCTGGGCTCAAGCAGTCCTCCTGCCTCAGCCTCCCAAGTAGTTGGAGACCGGGGGCCATACCTCTGCACCCAGCTCTGCCCATATAGGCTGGTCTCTGCCCAGGCATTCTTGCTCTCCCTTTGGTGCCCACCCCGAGTCCTCACTGGGATGCCCCATGCATACTTTTTGTGTCTTAAGTTTACTTTTCCTCACCTGCCCAACAAAGTACCCATTACTTCAGGGAGCTGACCCTATTTAGGAAAGAACTCTTCACAGAAATTGAAGCCTTTCTAGACTATAGCCTCCTGATTTTCCAGTCCTAACTCAATTTTTCCTTCTCTTTAGTCAGCTACATATTTTCCACTTGCAGGCATGATTAGATGCCTTCTTAGATTTTCCTGAATTTTTTTTTTTTTTTTTTTTTTTTTTGGCGTACTAGGTTTTAAGTCGGGGCCTCATGCTTGATGGGCAGGCGCTCTACCACCTGATTCACTCTGCCAGCCCACCTGAATATTTTTAGTAAACCTTTTAGGGCATTTATCTGTGTGCTAAGTACTCTGTAAGGCCAGCCAGCCAGCCAAAATCCCTAGCTAGAATATATGTAATTCTCAATTTTAAGTTAAGCTCTTACAAGCTTAACAATTTATAAGCCCATTGCACCTGACCTTGGCACCCATACTCAGCTGTTCTTAGTTAATGGAATATGCCACAATCTTACATAGTTTTGTGGTTATTTTATTGACTACTCACGCACCCTTTAAATTTTTGCCTCATTGCTAATTGTTTGCCCATTTTCTTTCTTACCCACCAGTCTTTTTATCTACCTACATAAAAGATGTTCTTCCCAAAGCCTACTTTAAGAATTAATGAGATCGCTTAGTGTTTTCCAGAACATTGAAGAAGTGTGTGTTGTTTTGCTTTTGTAGTACTGGAATTTGAACTCAGGGCCTTGAGCTTGCTAGGCTGGCACACTTACCAGTTGAGCCACAACTCCAGCCCCAAAGTTGGAAGGTTTTTTGGGTTTTTTTCTTGTTGTTGTTATTAGTAGTATATATTAATTGTAAAAAGTGTCTTGTGATAGTTCCATACATGGTTATAATGTATTTGATCCTTTTCGCCCTTATCTCCCACCTTTTTTTTACAATTTTAATGGGTTTCATGAAATGCATATTGTTTTCATACATGAATATAAAATATACTTCATTACCCTCTTTTTTTAACCCCCTCCTCCACAAAGTTGGAAGTTTTAAAAGTAGGCATGAACTTAATGAAATTTCTACATTCCAGGACATAAACAGTATGTTTGTCCTCAGGAACTCCCAAAATTTTATTAGCATATAATAGTTGTAGAGGAGGATACATTGTGCTATTTACATATGTGCTTACAATGTATCTTAGTTGGATTTACTGCCCCCCCATCATTCTTCTCCTTCCCCCTTCTTAGAACAATTTCAACAGATTGCATTCTTCTATTTTAATATATGGATACAAAATACATCCACCATAGAGTCCCTCATTCCCTCTTTCCTTGTGCCCACCCCCTGAAAAGATGTTTTTCCCTCCTGCCCTTCATTTTTTTTTTTAATTAAGTGTATGTTGATAGTCCAAGGGGGATTCACCTT